CCTATGAATAAACTACCAATCTACCAGCCAACAACCAGTTTAAGGACTGACAAACCTAAAACTTAGCTTACCAATAATCTACTAACCTATTGACCTACCAACTCATTAAAGTATTTCCCAACCAACCAACTTAAGGACTGATCAACCAACCAATAAACCACCCAACTAAAAAAAACAAAAAACAAAAAAAACCCCAAACAGTCCACAAGCAGTGGGCTCCAGGGACTAAAGGAAGGGAAGAGGGGAGACCCTGGTACTTCCAGGCACATTTATAATACTGACATGTAATCTACGTGCCAATACTGCAATTACCGTGCAGGAAGGGGCAGGAAGAAGGAGAGTCAGAAATCAGTGGGGAAATGGATTATGTGGTTCACTGTCTCCATGGGCAACTTCCTCTCCACAAGACCAGAAGAACTGGATGGGGCCTGGCAGCCCTGGCTGAACATGTTGATCAAAGATTCTAGAAAATATTTCTGATCAAAAGGTGGGAAATGTAGAACAGAATTTAAAATCCTTGTGAACTCTACTTTCTGGATCCATCAAGGCTACATGAACTTCTCAAACTATTGTCCTGACATACTCTTCAAACCTTAAACCAAGTAATATTCCCTGAAGTCTTCTTAAGAGCAAACAGGACTTTAGCTTAACTAAAAGAATGTCTGCCTTGAGCACTGTGCCCTTCTAAAGAACTACCTATGTGGGATTAGACTGACAACAGTAACTCAGAAGGTCAGGTAAGAAGTTGGGGGCCAGTAAGTTCATATTGGAAAAGGAGGGCTAGGATAGTGACACAACTTGTAACCATTGTCACTGAATGGTATGGGTAGAAATGGTATATGCTCTCAACAACCATAAAAATAATATTACAGTTGGACCACCTGGACCCCAGCTTCTCTTCTGGGTTACAGACAATGTGCCTGACTAGGGTATCTTTGCTCCCAATGAGGGGCTAACCTTCACAGACATCAGTGAATCATCCCGGAGAGAGACAGCCTCGCAGGTGGAATGAGCTCTTTTCTGGGGTAGTGAAGTACAACAAAAGCTATTTGGAGTTAGGAAACGACTGGACATCATTAACCTCTCAAAGTCTACACGTGAGGGCTGGAAGAAGGCTGCTCATCTAGCCACATACAAGTGGGCACAACAAACCCTCAGCTGTGCACACAGCACACAGAAAGCATTTAATTTTTTTTCATTCTTAATGCCCTTGGTGGGTAGCTTTGGGTTCAAAGACAAATGAGGCACGAGACCCCACGCGCAGCGGCCACATCCTGTTTCCAGGAAGTGAATTTTGTATGTCGATTTCTCCCTGAGTCAAGGTGAACAGAGCACAAAACAGTTAGAGAAATTGCTCACAAATGCCTTTTCTAATGGCCCAGCGTGTGGCACCGGGCAGGGAGGGTTCGGCACGTGTAGGCAGCGGCTCTACTCTTGTTCTTGGCTTTCTGGTTTTATTGCTATACTTATGTGCTCAGGGAATATCTGGGTGGACCCTGTGTTTTTGTTGTTATTGTTTAAAAGGAAATAAATACACGTTGGAAAAATACATGTTGTCAGCAGGCATTTCTGTTTGAGTGCTGTGAGCAGAGAGAAAAGTTGAGGAGGGTGGAAGCCACAGGTCAGGAGTTCTGGGTCCCAGAAGCTACTTGTAGCCACTGGGCAGGTTGAGATTGGGAGTAATAAGCCTCTGCTTGCTGTCTCAGGATTTCAGAAGAATTAGTGGAAAGTATCTACTGTCCTGCAGAGAACTGGCCAGGCCTCTCTGAAACTAATAGCCTGCCTGGCTTTTACAGTTGTTGTGAAGTGCCATCGAGTCAGTTCTGACTCACAGAGACCCTGTATAGGGTTTCTGAGGAGCAGCTGGTGGATTTGAACCACTGACCTTGTGGTTAGCAATTCAGTGCTTATCCTTACTGCCACCAAGGCCCTGGACTTTTGCATTGCTGGTGTTAAAGTGCATAGAGTTTCTGAGGAATGGCTGGTGGGTTTGAGCCACTGACCTTGCTATTTAAATTGACTTCTTATGATCCAGTGCTTATCCTACAGTGCCACATCAGGACACACTAAAGCTTGTCACCTCGTTGGGGGGTGGGGGAGCCTGAGGAGTCACACAGAATAGCAAAATGATCTCCTCAATGCAGTTGGTAAACTGAGCACATGGTGACGGTAGCAATGGGGGGCCTGTATGCAGAGGGGCTCCATGTGAATGTAGACCAAAGCTTGAAAGACTATCCTCCAACTCTCTGGACTAAGAATGGAACATTTTACTGCTTACAAAAAAAAACCCCTCAAAGTGCATGGTGAGCCCTAACACAGCATGTAACACTGCTGGAGTGGACAGACACCAAGGGGCTGAGAGTTCAAGGGCCAGAAAGAGACACCTGCCTGAGGGCACAGCAGAGAAGACACTGTCTTTACCAAAAAATCTGCATCCTGAGCATTTTCTGACCCTAATAAACCTCGCAATTGTGAGTATGAAAAAAAAAAAATGTGCATGGCAGTGTAGCATTATAAGGTACGGGGTGAAGCACAAAGAATCCTGGTGCCACACTGGTTAAAGCACTCTGCTGCTACCCCAAAAGACATCAGTTCAAATCTGCCAGTCGCTCTGCAGGAGAAAGATGAGGCAGGCTGATTCTGTAAAGATGACAGCCTTGGAAACCCTGTGGGGCAGCTCTGTGCTGCTCTCCAGGGTGGCCATGGGTGCGAACTGACTCCAGGCAGGTGGGTTTGGTTTGTTTGTGTGGATGGGTGGAGCAGAGCATGAAGGGATTGGGTACTGACTATAAGATTGGTGGTTTGAAGCCAACAGGAGGAACGTAGGAAGAAAAGTCTGGTGATCTGCTTCTGAAGCAGCTCTACTCTGATACACAGGAGGCTGCCTCAAGCTGGAGTCAATGGAATGGAACAACGACAATGTCTTTTCCCTTCACTATAGACTTGAGTGCAACATGAGCATCATAGCTGGTCAGTGGGAGACATTTCCAGGAGCAGTGACTGGAAGCAGTGAGGCAGAAAGCTGTTGTTGTGAAGTGCCATTGAGTCGATTCCGACCCACAGTGACCCTGTATAGGGTTTCCGAGGAGCAGCTGGTGAGCTTGAACCACCGACCTTGCAGTTCAAACGGCTTTGCAGTCTGAAGCATTAACCCACAGCGCCACGCCAGTAATGCTGTTATAGGTGCTAGCAATTTGGCAATGACTCATAGTTAGCTCATGCACAGGAGAACGAAACACGGTCAGGTCCTGTGCCATCCTCACCATCAGTGTTGTGTTTGAACCCACTGTTGCAGCTATAATCCATCTTGTTGGGGATCTTGTTTTGTTTTGACTGACTCTCTGTGGCACTGTGGGATAATGTGCTGGTCTGCAAGGTTATTTGAACCACAAGGTCAGTGGTTGAAGCCCACCAGCTGTTCCTTGGAAACCCTATACATGGTCGCTATGGGTTGGAACCGATTCAATGGCACTTAACAAGTGACAACAACTACTTTACCAAGTATGATATCCTTCTCCAGGGACTAAGTCCCTTAGATAACATGTCCAGACTTTGTCGTTGTTGTTATGTGCCATGGAGTCGGTTCTGACTCATAGTGACCCTGTAGAGGGTTTCCGAAGCTATAAATCTTTACGGGAGCAAAAAGCCTCATCATTTTCCCATGGAGCAGCTGGTAGTTTCGAACTGCTGACCTTGCAGTTCACAGCCCAATTCGTAACCACTATGCTACCAGAGATCCTTATGTCCAGACTATGAGAGACTAAATCTCACCATCTTCACGTCTTAGGAGCATTCTGCCTGTGATTCTTCCAGGTTTGTTCTTTTTTCTAGCAGCCAAATGTATACTCAATGTTCTCTACCAACATCATAATTATAAGGCATCGATTCTTCTCCAGTGTTCCTTATCATTGTGCAGCATTCATATACACATGGCCCCAAACCAAAGTCAAACCCATTGCCACTGAGTTGATTCTGACTCATAGCAACCTTGTATAGGATTTCTGAGGAGCGGCTGGTTAGCTTGAACTGCCAACCTTGCAGTTCAAACTGACTTTACAGTCCATACCACAGTGCCATACCAGGACTCCTCATATGCATGAGATGACTGAAAATATACTAGCTTGGTTTAGGCACACCTCAGTCCTCAAAGTGACATTTTGTGTGTGTGTGTGTTTTAAACACTTTCAAGAGGTCTTTTGTGGCAGATTTAACCAATACAATGCATCCTTTGATTTCTTGACTGCTGCTTCACTGAGCATTGACCATGGCTCCCAGTAAAATGAAGTCCCTGACAAACGTCAGTCTTTTTTCTACTAGGCAGACAGACATCAATATCTTCTCCATTAGGCAGATATTCAGAGATCATCAATACTAAACAGTGCAAAGAAAAATGTGGAACAAAACTCAAAATCCTGAAAAAGGCCAGGCTTACTGGTCAGAATGAGACAGGTGGAACCCCAACACTAGGTTCTTAGTCCCCCTTCAGGCCTCGAACTGAGCTCACCTGCACTGATCAACTTTTGGCTAAACTCCTGTTGTTGTTAAGTGTCATTAAGTAGGTTCTGACTTATAGTGACCCTGTATTGGGTTTCTGAGGAGAGACTGGTGGGTTTAAGCTGGCAACTCTGTGGTCAGTAGTTCAGTGTTTAATCCTACAGCACCACACCAGGACATTAGGCACACAATGTGAACAGTCACACCAGGGAGGTATGAAGTCCTTAGAACAATCAACCATAGGAGATCCTAAGGGCAGCGTTTGCCCAGGGAGAAAGCTCAGACAGCAGGAATGGAAACGGGAGACCCAGGGAGCAAGTGGAGACTGCCAACAGTGAAAGAAAACGTGTCTGAAAGGTTGAATGGAAAACTGATTTCTTCTGTCTGCCTTCACCCAAATCCCAATAAAAAGTCCTACAACCTGTACAGGGTCGCTATGGGTCGGACCCGACTCGATGGCACTTAACAACAACAACAACAGCAACGAAACAGAGCGCGATACTCACATGACTTCCAGCCGGGCTGTGCGGGAGTCGTTTCCACCTGGAGAAACAATCTCACAGGTGTAGTCCCCGATGTCTCCGGACCATGTCTGACTGATGAGGAGTGAGCCATCTTTCTCCACCACAATTCTAGAACCACTGGAAGGGCTGATCATTACATTGTCCTTCTTCCAAACGTAGCTGTGGGCCAAGCAAAGAGGCTCTGGTGAGAACGCCCACAGAATTGAGACCACAAGCTCGTCCCTGTCTGCTGAAACACAAGTAACTACTAATCCTGTTAGCACACAGTCAGGAGACAAAGGGTGTCCACTGAGACCACGTCTGAATGCATGAGCATCCGTGACCCTGGTCCCTGTAATGTCTTTGATATTAAATTACAGTATTATATTATGTCACTATGGAGTCCTGGTGTGGCACTATTGGATAAGCACAGGACTGCAAGGTCAGTTTGAACCACAAGGTTGATGGTTCAAACTCACCAGTTGCTCCTCAGAAACCCTGTGCTGGGTCGCTATGAGTCGGAATTGGCGCCACAGCATTTAACAACAATTATGTTACTGTTGATTCTATAATGGTGTGTGATAGCCAACAGGGAGCACGGAGGCTCCATAGAATAAGCACTGGGTTGCGAACCTTGAGGTTGGCAGTTTGAGCCTACCAGTTGCTGTGTGTGAGAAAGATGAGGTTTTCTACTCCCACAAGAGATTTAAAAGCCTTGGGAACTCTATACAGGGTTGGTATGAGTCGAAACCAACTCCATGGCACTTAGCAAGCAGCAATAGCAAACAGTTGCTACTTTGTAACTTGCATCAAAACATTATTTTTCATTTATCTATTTTTTCAAAATTACTCACTTTATCATAAAGGCAGTCTTCAAATACGTTTAGGAATAATTACAATTGAACATTATAGAGGATGTTTTGTTAGAAAAAAACAAAATTATTATGAAGGACTCAGAGGTCAGACTGTGCTGTATTAAAAATGTCATAACAACACAGAAGATGCTGCTGTAGTAACTGGACTTTATAAATATAACATGCTTTATGAAACCATTGTTATTATTACTATTATTCATATATGTTCAAGATGTTTTAGTGCATTTGGAATTGTTCCTTTAATATCTTTTATGCATAGAAAGGAACATTATATACTACATAAAAGAAGGCTTCAATAAGTTGGTGGGTTCTGAGACCAGGAGATTTAGATGGTGCCCAGCCAGCATCACCAATAGTGCTGGCAGAGATCACATTAGAAGGTCCTAGGTAGAGTGGAGAAAAAATACAGAACAAAATTCAAAATCATAAGGAAGATCATTGGTCAGACAGAGCTGGTAAAATCCCTGAGACAATGGCCCTCGGTCACCCTTCATGTCTGAAATCGAACTCACCCCCTCAGTTCAATTTTCAGTCCATCAGTAGATAGATACATAGGGGTACAGGTCTATAGGGGGACAACACTACTACTGAGGTACACACACCATAGGAGGGACAACCATTCAAGATCAAAAGGGCAGCATTTACCCAAGGACAGAGTTCAGAAGGAGGAATGGAAAGAACCCCAGGGAGGAAGTAGGATACGTAATGTTACATTGTGGGGATTGTGTAATCATTGAAATGAAACCAAGTGTATGGTTTGCTGAATGTAAAACTGATGACTTGCTCTGTAAACCTTCACTCAATTCCCAATAAAAAGTCCTACAACCT